TTCTCTAACCTAAAGTTTTGCCTATCAGAATCAGAAAAGGTAAGGTGGTGGAGAGAAATCCGTCTGAGTCTTCAATTAGATTGGATAGCCAGAGAGGGAATTAAATTAATAATTTTGGAAAGCACCTAAGATACTTTGGATACAGATTCATGAAAGTCTCGTAATGCTCAGACATTCAATCAATATTAGATTAGATAAAGAATGACCTTTCGTTTTACTTCCAAAAATAAAAAACGATAAAAGAAAGAAAACATATTATTCTTTCTACATATGAGTCAGATTACTTGGATACTTCTAAAAGTATGCATTTACTTGTGTTTACATCTTGTCGATTCTACTAGAAATTCTATAATTAAGAATAACTCATTATAAGATAAGTGAATTTTTTGGAGTAGTTCATCGATGTTGACCAAATACCTCTCCTTTTTTTTTGACTCTGCACCAGTGATTTCACTATTATTAGTGAACAATAATGGAATAGTTTCTTCATATTCATAGAAATAGGGGACAAAATTCGCATGGATATAGTAAGTCTCGCATGGGCTGGTTTAATGGTAGTTTTTACATTTTCCCTCTCTCTCGTAGTGTGGGGAAGAAGCGGACTCTAGAAGTACTACTAATTGCGGTAATAATCAAACTCTATCAACCTGTATCAATTGTTTTAGTTTTCTAGACCGGTCGGCAAATTTTTTTAATATTTTTTTATTTTTTGTTTTATTGACTCATTTTTTATTTTTATATCAGGGTTTACACCGTTAACCATTCATGGGGTAACCCCTTTTCGAAATCTGAAGAAGTTTACATCAAATTTGGATTATCTGTATTAAATGGATCAAACAAATGAAATTTAGAAAGTATGTACATACATTTCATATTCTATTTAATTTATATTGACATTTCTAAAGGAAAAGAGAGATATGGGTGGATTCCTTTATATTAAGATAGTTCACTTGTATCTTTATACATTACAATAACCATAATGGCTAGTATGGTAGAAAGAGATCTCTTTCTACCATACTAACGGGCCCCTTAGGCTACTACTACTACTGAATCTAATGGATTCCTTTCATTTAAGACGAGAAGTTGAAATCTTTTTTTTTTTTCATTGATAATCAAATTGTATTTAAATTAATTATTTTGACTAACCGTTTTTACGTAAATTATAAGCAAAAAAGCAGTAGGAATGAGAATGAAGAGTGCAGTAGCAATAAATGCAAGAATATTTACTTCCATAATTTAATCGTTTATTATTATTTTTTTTTCTTTAGAATATCTCGGGATTTAATCCCATAGAGATGAGAAATCTTTCGCTTGTCAACTCACTCAGATGAATTAGATTTCGATGATATCGAATGAAAGAAATATCATGAATAACAATATCGGAACTATAAAATCGATTCATCGTCAAGAATTTAATAGTATAACATAGGAAGATCTTTTATCCACACCGAATACATAATGAGATTCCCGATCCAATCAATAAATATTTATTTATGATTCTTTTTCCCCGCTTTCTTTTCTACAACCTAATACTTGACTTTCCTTGTACAACCATCTGATGAAATATGATAAAAAACATTTTCTACTTCGATTGTTTACAAAAAGAGTTTCTAAAGAAACTTAAATAAACAATAGAAATCAAATAGAGAAAACATGTACGAAGTTCAATTTAAAATTTAAAAAAAAATTTAAGGGTCTATCATCTTGTTGGAAAACAAAGAAAGGGAATGTGATAAAGAGATAAAGACGAGTCCCGGTAAAAAAACTAGAATATTCCAAAAAAGTAACTGTTTCAATTTTCTTACGAGTTTTTTCTTCGACATCGACTCTAATCTTTAAAAAGAGCATATTCATTAAGGGAAGACTAATTTTATCTTTATTTTTTAAATATCCTCTTTCCTTGGTTGGATTCGAACTATTTTTAATTCCTTGACTTCATAGAAATAAAAGTATATATAGGTACTCTTGGCAAACGTATTATACGCTATCCTATTTAATTTTCCTACACGAGTTAATGGGAAATTAATTGACAAAAAGCAGAAACCCCATACAGTATCTCTTTCTTTAAGTGTTTAATGCTCTCAATAATTATAATTATACTAATTTACATATGTCTCTCTACCATCAATCGGTGCTAGTTAAAATAATGTAAATAGCCCTTTCTTTTGCTTGATGAAAAAAAAAAAAAAAAAAGGGGGGGGGGGGGGGGGGGGGGGGGGGGGGGGGGGAGTTTATGTTTTTTTTATTGAATCCGCCGGGACTGACAGGGCTCGAACCCGCAGCTTCCGCCTTGACAGGGCGGTGCTCTGACCAATTGAACTATAATCCCATGGAAATCAAGTGGGGTAGCTTAAATATTCCTTACTATGATTTCATTTTAATCATTTCAATGTGAGATTCAAATTAGTGCTGTAACAAAGAAAGTCACAAGTGATATATTGATATCTATATGGATATCACTTTAGTGATAGCAAGACGGATTACTGGTAATCCTTTGATTATTATAAAATCAATTGATAATCTATTTTTTATTATTTTCTCGACTCTGTTAATTAAAGTTTATATTTAAAGGATCCATATCGGGATCCTTAGCAAGATCAAGATCGGAATTTGTTATGTAAACAAAAAAAAAGTAACGAGACACAAGAAATAAATAAAAAAGTAAAGTTGAAATATACTCCGAAATTTGACTTTTTTTCTTACCCTTCTCTGTCATTTATGCAAAACAAAAAGGGTTATGTAGACAGCGAATTATTGGGCCGAGCTGGATTTGAACCAGCGTAGACATATTGCCAACGAATTTACAGTCCGTCCCCATTAACCGCTCGGGCATCGACCCAGGAAGAATCTATTAGAACTTTATGGATAATCCACGATCAACTTCCTTTCGTAGTACCCTACCCCCAGGGGAAGTCGAATCCCCGCTGCCTCCTTGAAAGAGAGATGTCCTGAACCACTAGACGATGGGGGTATACTTGCTCAACCGCCATCATATTATGATCATAGTATGATCAGTTTTTTAAAATTGTCAATATAATAAAATGGTATGACTAGCTTATATATAAGTTTTTTTATTTTTTCTATAGCATTCTATATCATTTTTTTTTTTTTGAAGTGGAAATATGAAATAAAAAAAATATATAGAAATATTCTAGTACAGAATCTTTTAAAGAAGTGATTGGTCTGACATAAAAAAAGAAAAAAGAGGGTTAAGTTTCGTTTTTTTTAACTTTCCTTCATAGATTGCCTCATCTCATTGTATAGTAGTATCTCTATCTAACACTAACTCAATAAAATCAGACAGAATACATCTTCTAATTATTCTAATTAGGGTAATTAGGTAAGA